CTCTGTTTCAATTCTTCTCTTATTTTTCCTTACTTTGTCTCGTCCCCATTTTTGCATGGGTTTCCGTTACCTTATCTCTATATGTCATTCTATTTCATTCTCTTACGATTTCTAGGTAGTATTCCCCATCTCACTTTGTCTCACTCTCTTATTTTCTCTGCACTTTTTCTCTCTCTCTCTCTCTTTCTCTTCCTCTTTCTCTCTCTCTCTCTCCCTATTTCCCTATTGCTTTTTCACTCTACCTATCTCTATCTCTCGCTCTCCCTAGCTCACCCTTTCTACCTTATTCGAGTGCGAGCTAAACATGTGTCAAAACAACTGCTCGATTCGATACTCCCTGCATGGCTTATGCCAGGGTATGGCATGGCAGGCGGACCAACTGTTTGCCTGTTAAATATTACGCATTGTCGCGCTATTGTTGAACGCTTTTGGCCACCCGCACCGCTTGCCGGCTGACCTATTCGGTAGCTTCTCTAATTGGAAAGTGGACGTGGGCGAGGCCGAGTGGCCTTGACCTCTTGGCTTGGCTTGGCTTGGCTTAGCTTGGCTTGGTTTGGTTTGGCTAGAATTGGTAACAAAGCGAAAGGCCAATTAAGGCAGCAAATGTGCCGCATCATTTCGACACGAATAACCCCTGTCCCGCATCCGCTCCGCCCCCGCCTTGCAAAAAATAAAGAAAAAAAATTGAATACTGAAAAATTGTATAATTAGTTAACGCTTTGAGTTTTTGTTGCTTCTGAAGCGTCTTTTATATTGCGAATTTGTTTTGTTTTGCTTTTGGTATTTTTTGCTGCTGCTCATTTCTGGCCTTTTCATAGATTTTGTTTTGCTCGCCGCATTCATCGCTTGCCGTGGTATCACGTCCGCTCAACACTTTTCGCATGGCAGCGTCCCACTGTGCGAGGTCAAGCGATCGCGCTGACCGGTCCATGCAAATGCAAAAAGCCGAGATGCGGGCGAGCCAGCAGCCGCAGCATTCAGCTGCTAATTAGAGGCCAATAATGGCCCACATAACTCTTGGCCAGTCCTTCAGCCGCAGCCTCAGGTTCACGCTAACTGCCTAAGCAATTCTTACAAGAGACACAGTGACATATGTATATTATGATATATATGTATATACATATATATATATACTGACATATTGATATATTGACTTTGTGATATATATTGATATTGAACTAGATCGTTAAGCCTAATTATCGTTGAGCCTTAAGGTCGGATTCAAGCTTGGGACCGATCTAAGAAAACTTTTGATGGAGCCGCACTTCTTATAAGAGATCCACTTGATTAATTGATTAAAGCTCTGCTGATAACAGGAACTCATTGAAGATCGTTGGCATGTGGTACTAGCAGTACGATATACAGTAGAATCCGGTTATACCGACTCCGCTTATAGCGTTCGTACGATTATTATGACAAAAATTCTTGTCCCCAGACAAACGTATGTATATGGTTATAGCGTCGCTCCTAGAGTTTCGTTACAAATCAAATTCTGCTATGCCTCTACAACGTTTTCTATTGCCTGCAGTGAGTCCCAC